AAGGGTGGGCAGGCCCAGCTGGGGGACCTGTCGGGGAGGTGTTGTGGCGCAGGACCTGGGCCTGCAGCTGCCCTGGAGGAGCTCCCCTAAGCCCTGGCAGGGGGTGGGCCTTGGCTTCTTTGTCCTCACTCTTCATCCCTGACCCTGCCAGGGTTGGAGGCAGCAAAGCTAGGCCCTTCCGGGGACACAGAGGGTTATTGGCTTGGCACTGGCACTGGCACTGGCAGAGAGTGAGGACGGGACTCCAGCCCACCTGCTTAGGCTGTCTTGCCACTTCCCAGCCTGGGTGCGCCTCCCAACCTCTGGGGCCTCAGTGTGCTGGTATGGGAAGTGGGCTGGTTATGGCCTGCTACCTGGGCTCCTGCAGGGCTGGTGCACTTGGACTTCACAGGAGGCTCTCGGAGGTGTGGGAGAGGCCCTGGTGTGCCCCTGACGCCCAGCTCAGGGAGTTGGATGCCCACAGCCCTGAGGGCCTGTCTGAAGCTGTCATCTGTCCCAGGGGAGTTGGGAAGACCCAAATGCCTGTGGTAAGGTGGGTGCCCCCACCCTACCCTGCAGCCCCACACTACCCTGCAGCCCCACCCCCACTGGCCCTGAGTCCCCTGCTGGGGAGGACCTTTTAGGAGACAGGCTGAGCCTGGGCCAGGCCTTGGCTTCTGCAAGGGACCATCTGAAGTGCAGGGCCCTGCCCACTCCCTCCTGGGAGTTGGTGGTGCCCCCTGAAGTTTTGGGGATGGAAGAGGGTGGCCAGCACAGTGGGGGGAGGGCAGAGGGGTCTCTAGGAAGGCAACCTAGGAGTGACATCTGTGACTCTGGGGCAAGGCCAGGGGTCTAGACGTGTCAGTAGCGAGGTGGGTTCCAGCACTTATGAGGCCAATGTGGCCGGAAGGATGGCAGGGCCAGGTGCCCTGGATAGGGGTGTTGGGGACCCTGGCTGGAGTGTGGGCAGCAGATGGGGTGGGGGAAGAGCCTCCTTGCCAGGGTCTTGTGGGCCCAGGGCCAGTCACTGGTGCCACAGGGGTCTCCCTGGTGGGCCTCTGCCTTTCTTCTTTTTGAGACAAGTCTCGTTCCATCACCCATCCTGGAGTGCAGTGACACGAACTCCCGGCTCACTGTAGCTGTGGCCTCCTAGGCCTAAGCCATCCTCTCACCTCAGCCCCGAGTAGCTGGGACTACAGGCGTGCACTGTCACGCCTAGATTATTTTTGTATTTTTTTGTAGAGATGGGGTTTTGCTATGTTGCCCAGGCTGGTCTCAAACTGCTGGTCTCAGGCGATCCTCTGGCCTTGGCCTCCCAACGTGCTGGGATAAGCCTAAGCCACCATACCCGGCCAGGCCTTTGCCTTTCTAGGGGTGAGAGGTGGCTGCCTTAGTGTTTGGGGGTGGGAGGAAGCCACAGGGCTTCAGTTAGCACCCCCTGCCCAGAGGGAGCTCCTGTCCCACACAGGCCGGTCCTGGGTCGGTGGCTGGGGGATGGGGTGCTGGGCTCCCGCTGTGCACACATGGGCGTTCCCCCAGGGTGCCTCTGTCTTTACACATCCCTGGTTGTGCTGGCTTTGCTGGTGGGTTTGGAGCTCTGGTGAGCAGGTCAGGTCTTGGGGAGCCCCTGGCTCTGTGATCCAGGGCAGGTGGCCCCCAGAGAAGAGAGGAGAAATGTGGGCACCTATGGGCACTCACTGGAGGGGCTGTGGGGAGGGTAATGGCGGGCCCAGGTCACGGAGTGGACATTGCCGTCCTGAAGTTATTTCTCGTTCTAGCTTTGTCTCCCCCTCCTTCCTGGGTTCTGCCCAGAGCTGTCCCTGCAGTCCCCTTTGCCCCATCCTGTACCCCGTGTGGATTGTTCTCCCCACGGCTGCTGGGAGCCCTGGGCTTGGGGTGCATGGGCATGGGTGGGGTGGGCTGAGGCCTGCCTGGTGGACAGGTCCCACCTTCTCTAGCCTGTGCCTGGGTTTCTGGGTCTCCCTCTGGGCCAGCCATGCGGTGTCTGTGGATCCTGGGGTTGCTGCCTGAGCAGCATCGGCCTTAGCCGCCCTAAGAGCACCCTTTCCTGAGCCTGTCCCCACTCAGCGTCCTTGTCCAGCCCACAGCTCCTCTGTGGGGGCAGCTCTGGGGCACGGGCTTCTCACGTTATGAAGCAGATATACCCAGTGGCTTTGTGGTTGTCCCCCCACCAGGGATGCCTTCTGATTGGTCGGGGCCTCCTGGGACTGGGGGCTGAGCAGGAGTCCTGTGTGGGACCCTGTGTGGATGTGTACAGGGCAGAGGGAGGGCCTAGAGCGTGTGGATGTGTACAGGGCAGAGGGAGGGGCTAGAGCGTGTGGATGTGTACAGGGCAGAGGGAGGGGCTAGAGCGTGTGGATGTGTACAGGGCAGAGGGAGGGGCTAGAGCGTGTGGATGTGTACAGGGCAGGGGGAGGGGCTAGAGCGTGTGGATGTGTACAGGGCAGGGGGAGGGGCTAGAGCGTGTGGATGTGTACAGGGCAGGGGGAGGGGCTAGAGCGTGTGGATGTGTACAGGGCAGAGGGAGGGGCTAGAGCGTGTGGATGTGTACAGGGCAGGGGGAGGGGCTAGAGCATGTGGATGTGTACAGGGCAGAGGGAGGGGCTAGAGCGTGTGGATGTGTACAGGGCAGAGGTAGGGCCTAGAGCGTGTGGATGTGTACAGGGCAGGGGGAGGGGCTAGAGCATGTGGATGTGTACAGGGCAGAGGGAGGGGCTAGAGCGTGTGGATGTGTACAGGGTAGAGGGAGGGGCTAGAGCGTGTGGATGTGTACAGGGCAGAGGGAGGGGCTTTGTGTGGATGTGTACAGGGCAGAGGGAGGCCTAGAGCGTGTGGATGTGTACAGGGCAGAGGGAGGGGCTTTGTGTGGATGTGTACAGGGCAGAGGGAGGGCCTAGAGCATGTGGATGTGTACAGGGCAGGGGGAGGGGCTAGAGCATGTGGATGTGTACAGGGCAGGGGGAGGGGCTAGAGCGTGTGGATGTGTACAGGGCAGGGGGAGGGGCTAGAGCGTGTGGATGTGTACAGGGCAGAGGGAGGGGCTTTGTGTGGATGTGTACAGGGCAGGGGGAGGGGCTAGAGCATGTGGATGTGTACAGGGCAGGGGGAGGGGCTAGAGTGTGTGGATGTGTACAGGGCAGGGGGAGGGGCTAGAGCATGTGGATGTGTACAGGGCAGGGGGAGGGGCTAGAGCGTGTGGATGTGTACAGGGCAGAGGGAGGCCTAGAGCGTGTGGATGTGTACAGGGCAGAGGGAGGGGCTTTGTGTGGATGTGTACAGGGCAGAGGGAGGCCTAGAGCATGTGGATGTGTACAGGGCAGAGGTAGGGCCTAGAGCATGTGGATGTGTACAGGGCAGAGGGAGGGGCTAGAGCATGTGGATGTGTACAGGGCAGAGGGAGGGGCTAGAGCGTGTGGATGTGTACAGGGCAGAGGGAGGCCTAGAGCATGTGGATGTGTACAAGGCAGGGGGAGGGGCTAGAGCGTGTGGATGTGTACAGGGCAGAGGGAGGGGCTAGAGCATGTGGATGTGTACAGGGCAGAGGGAGGGCCTAGAGCGTGTGGATGTGTACAGGGCAGAGGGAGGGGCTAGAGCGTGTGGATGTGTACAGGGCAGAGGGAGGGGCTTTGTGTGGATATGTACAGGGCAGAGGGAGGGCCTAGAGCATGTGGATGTGTACAGGGCAGAGGGAGGGGCTTTGAGGGCTTCCTCCTGTTCAGAGGCCCCGAATTGGGTATGTGGGGCCCTCGCTCCTCCAGCCCAGCCTGCCTGGTTTGATGTGGCTTCCTGGGCCTCACTCTCCTGGTCTGTGAAACGGGAGTGATGAGGGCTTGTTCCTGTGGCTGCGGGGAGTGAGTGGTGGGCTACAGGGAGGCTCCCAGTCCCAGGTGAGGGGGTACGCACGCTGGCCGTTGGGGTGTGTGCTGTGTCTGTGCCTGTGGCTCACTCTGAGTTTCATGGGGCAGGCAAGGGCAGGTGCAGGTGGCACCCCTGGTCAGGTCTGTGTCTGAGCTGAGGGCTGAGCAGCTGCTGGCCAGGCCTTGTTGGCCCAGCAGTGGAGGGGGTGGCTGGGATGCCTCTGACCGAAGGCATTGGGTCGAGGGGTGGCAGCCTAAGCTGCAGCCAGGTTGGGGTAGGGCAGCTGGAGGCCTCCAAGCCTCTGGGTCAGCCTGGCAGTGCCAATCTGCAATCTGTTGGCGTCTCTTTTTTTTTTTTTTGAGATGGAGTCTCACTCTGTTGCCCAGGCTGGAGTGCAGTGGCACGGTCTTAGCTCACTGCAACCTTCTCCTCCTGGGTTCAAGTGATTTTCCTGCCTTAGCCTCCTGGGTAGCTGGGATTACAGGCACGCGCCACCACGCCTGGCTAATTTTAGTATTTTAATAGAGACAGAGTTTCACCATGTTGGTCAGGCTGGTGTCGAACTGCTGAACTCGTGATCCACCTGCCTCGGCCTCCCAAAGTGTTGGGATTACAGGTGTGAACCACCACGTCTGTTTAAGTTTTGTATTTTCAGTAGAGACGGGGTTTCACCATGTTGGCCAGGCTGGTTTCAAACACTGACCTTGTGATCCACCCACCTTGGCCTCCCATGGTGCTGGGATTGCAGGCGTGAGCCACTGCGACCAGCCCTGTTGGGGCGTCTTTGATCCTGGGCTCAGGAGCTGAGAAGAGTCTGTGGCCTGAGGGCCAAGGCCTGCCCACACACCTGGCCTTCACCCTTCCTGCTAGAGGGTATGTCCTCTGCCAGGAGTTGTCGCTTATATGGGGGGACCAGAGGCCTTTACCTTGATCATGATGGAGACCTGGATGGCCACAAAACACAGAACACACCCACCTACAAAGCACGTGGCCCACAGATGTCCTCGTCTCCTGGCTGCCGGATGACCAGCTAAGTCCTGGCACTGCAGGGCCTGCCCAGGCTGAATTGGGGCTGAGCCAGACTCCCTGCAGTAGGGCCCAGGGGCACTGGGACCTCTCACAGCCTCTTTTCTGTCTTGCAGGAAATGGCTAATTCTGTCTACCTGGTCATGGAGGTGAGTGCCTTGTGGTGTGAGGACAAGTGCAGGCTGATGGCCATGGCCCTGGGAGCCCCAGAGGGAGGGATGTGGCCAGGGGGGAGGGTGACGAGCACCTTTTCTCTTTTTTTGAGATGGAGTCTCACTGTCGCCCAGGCTGGAGTGCAGTGGTGCGATCTCAGCTCACTGCAACCTCCACCTCCGGGTTCAAGCAATCTTCCTGCCTCAGCCTCCTGAGTAGCTGGGATTACAGGTGTGTGCCACCAAGCCCGGCTAATTTTTGTAGTTTTAGTAGAGATGGGGTTTCGCCACGTTGGCCAGGCTGGTCTTGAACTCCTGACTTCGAGCGATCTGCCCACCTCGGCCTCCCAAAGTGCTGGGATTACAGGTGTGAGCTGCCATGGCTGCTGAGCATCACTACTGATGTCTTCCAGCAGGGACTGTGGGGACACCTGCCCTGGGGTGGGCAGGCGCCGGAGGGCCCAGGGAGTAGTGTCCAAGTGTGAGGGACACTGGGAGGCTGGGCAGGGCTGGGAGGTGGGCCCTGGTCCCTGCTGCAGCCTGATGCGTGTCTGGTCTTTTGCAGTACTGCAACGGTGGGGACCTGGCCGACTACCTGCACAGTGAGTGCACAGCTGTGCCAGTTGGGCTGCCAGCCGGCCCCCCAGGGCCCCGCACCCAGGGCCACCCTGGCCCAGCCTGGGAGGCAGCCTGGCTCGAGTGGGTCCCTGGCTGATTGTGAGATTGGCTCTTTCTCGTCCCCTTGGGACTCCTGAGGGGATGCAGGGGGCTGAGCTGCTCCCAGTTGTTAGCATTCGGTCCATCCGCCCGCCTCCCCCTTGCTTGAGGAAACAGCTGTGACCAAAGTAGCCCGAGGCCTCTGGTCGAATGAGGCCACGGGAGCCGCACAAACAAGGGGCGCGGGGCTGTTGTCTTCATAGTGTGGGTGGAAGGTGGCTCTTGGCCCACCCAAAGTTGAGCCGCGTGGCGGATGGGAGGAGGATGTGCTGCACAGGGCCGGGCAGGGCAGAGGGAAGGACAGCAGGTGGGCGCCCGTCTGTTCCCAGGCTCCCTGGGTGGGGGTCCGGGCCACGGCGCCAGCGGCCTCTCGGGTGTGTCCGGAGGGTCTGGAGGTGGCGCTGGGATGGTTCCGGGGACTTGCGCCTGAGCACCCTGGAGCCGGCAGGGCTGCTCGAACGCCGGCTCAGCCTCGCGTCGCCCTCACGGCGCTGGGGCGGGAGTGCCGGGCTGGTAGATGGGCAGGACCTGCTGCCCCCTCGCCTCGTCCCCCGCGGGGAGGACCCCACCGGCCAGCCTGGGAGACGGACGCTGAGGCCGGGCGGAGTGGAGACTGTGGCTGCGGTCCGGCTGCGCGCGGCTGGCTGCTGTCTGGATGCCGGGAAGAGGGGCGGGAGCGGGACCCGGGCGGAACCGCGGCACCGAGGCTGGGCGGCGGCCTCCCGTCTCTGGAGCAGCTGCAGCCCGGGGCTGGGTGGTGGGGCCGGCGCGCCGGGCTCTGCGCGGGAGCTTCAGGTGCGCCCTGGTCTCGGCGGGCCGCGGTGGCTCGTGCTCCTGAGCCGGCGTTTCCTCCCGGCCCGCGGCCATGCCTGGCTCTCTCCGGCGTGTGGTGGGACCGGCCCGGCCGCGCGGGGCTCACCCCTGGGGGAGCAGACACGGCCCCCAGCCTGAGCCGCCTCTCCCCGCAGCCATGCGCACGCTGAGCGAGGACACCATCAGGCTCTTCCTGCAGCAGATCGCGGGCGCCATGCGGCTTCTGCACAGCAAGGGCATCATCCACCGCGACCTGAAGCCGCAGAACATCCTGCTGTCCAACCCCGCGGGCCGCCGCGCCAACCCCAACAGCATCCGCGTCAAGATCGGTCAGGCGCGGGCGGGCAGGCCCGGCGGGGAGGGGCCCCAGGGCGGGCGCCCGTCCTGACGCGTCTCTCCCGCAGCTGACTTCGGCTTCGCGCGGTACCTCCAGAGCAACATGATGGCGGCCACACTGTGCGGCTCCCCCATGTACATGGTGTGTCTGCCTTGAACGGGCTGTGCCGGGTGGGCGCCTTGCTGGGCTTGCTGTTTGGCTGCGGTGTGGCGGGCTCTGCTCCGGTTGGCTGTGGCCCGGCAGGCTCTGCTCTGATTGGCTGGGGTGTGGCGGGCTTTGCTCTGATTGGCTGTGGCCTGGCAGGCTCTGCTCTGATTGGCTGTGGCCTGGCAGGCTCTGCTCTGATTGGCTGGGGCGTGGAAGGCTCTGCTCTGGTTGGCTGTGGCCCGGCGGGCTCTGCTCTGATTGGCTGTGGCCTGGCAGGCTCTGCTCTGATTGGCTGGGGTGTGGTGTGCTCTGCTCTGGTTGGCTGTGGCCCAGTGGGCTCTTCTCTGATTGGCTGTGGCCCAGTGGGCTCTTCTCTGATTGGCTGTGGCCCGGCAGGCTCTGCTCTGATTGGCTGGGGTGTGGTGGGCTCTGCTCCGGTTGGCTGTGGCCTGGTGGGCTCCTTCTTAGGTCGGCGTTTGGGGGCCTCACACTGACCCCGCTTCTGGTCCTGCAGGCCCCCGAGGTCATCATGTCCCAGCACTACGACGGGAAGGCGGACCTGTGGAGCATCGGCACCATCGTCTACCAGTGCCTGACGGGGAAGGCGCCCTTCCAGGTAACTCGGCTTGGCCCTGGTCCCCCCGTCGCACCTTCCGCGCAAGTGTCCGCCAGCTGCGGTCAGACGCCCCCTGCGAGCCCTGCCCGCGCCCCACGGGCTCCCCTCGGATCCTGGCAGGGCGGGGCGGGCGTCCAGGGGTCCAGTGGGGACAGGGCCTCGGTCTCCCCCGGGGGGCGGCGCCGCCGGCGGTGACTGGGAGCTGCCCCCGCGCGGCCTCCCTCGCCTGCCTGGTCACCTGCCTGGTCACCTGCCTGGTCAGAGGTGAGGGCAGCGCCGGGGCCGCGTGGGTGGGGGCGCGGAGGCCGCGTTCTGGGGGGTGGACACCCCGAGAGACCGTCGGCGGCCCCTCCCCGCCCCCATGCTCGCACCTCCAGCAGCAAACAGCGGCGCCAGCGCCCGGTGTCCCCCGGGCTTCGCAGCGTCTGGGGCAGGGACCGACTGGGGACAACGCGCCAAGACCCCATGGGCTGGTCCCGCTCGGCCGCAGCCCTGGCAGTCAGGCTGTCCCCGTCCCCGCAGGCCAGCAGCCCCCAGGACCTGCGCCTGTTCTACGAGAAGAACAAGACGTTGGTCCCCATGTAAGCGCCCTCCTGCCTTCCCTTCCCCCGCCGGCTCCGGCCCCGCAAGCCCCGCTCACAGCAGCCTCTTCTCACCCCAGCATCCCCCGGGAGACCTCGGCCCCGCTGCGGCAGCTGCTCCTGGCTCTGCTCCAGCGCAACCACAAGGACCGCATGGACTTCGGTGAGCACCCACCCCGCACCCTCCCTCCTTGCATTTGCTGATGTGAGCAGAGCCCACCCGCTTCGCACCCAGCCCCACGTGCACACTGCCCTTCCCACAAGCCAAGCGCAGGCAGGGGCTCCACCTCTGCCCAGGCAGGTCCCCACCTTGCCACGGGAGCTCAGGCCCTGGGGAGGCGGGGGCCTCCTGAGGCCTCACTCCTCCTTCCTCCTGCAGATGAGTTTTTCCATCACCCTTTCCTCGATGCCAGCCCCTCCGTCAGGAAGTGTGAGTTTCTGTGGGTCCTGGGGCTCCGGATGGGCCCTACACCCCATCCTCCTGGGGTCTGGTTAGGCACTGAGTGTGGGGTAGAGGGAGCAGGTCTTGAGCTGCGGCAGCTCCCAGGGAGGGTAGAACACCCGGCCCCTCACTCTGCTGCAGCGGGGACCCCAAGGCCAGGGTGCGCATGATGATGCAGCAGGCTTGGGATGGGGATGGGGTGTTGGAGGGGCTGGTGCTGCCCTGTGACTGTCATGGGGTGGTCCAGGAGGGAGCCTCCCTCCCTGCTGGTCAGGTTGTAGCGGGAAGTGGAAGGGATATGGTTGAGCTTGTCCAGTCCGTGGGTTGGCTCTAGGGTGAGGAGACAGGAGGACGGTCCAGACTGACCTATGCCTGTTTCCCTCAGCCCCACCGGTGCCTGTGCCCTCGTACCCAAGTTCGGGGTCCGGCAGCAGCTCCAGCAGCAGCTCCACCTCCCACCTGGCCTCCCCGCCGGTGAGTTGCCGCCCCAGGGGCCTGACAGCTTCTCCCCTCACTCAGCAGTCAGGGGCTCCAGCCCTGGGCCCCCGCGGGGACGTGCTGTGAATTCTGTTGTCTGTGTGAGTCACGAAAGACATGGATGAGTTCGTCCTGTAGATGGTGAAGCCCCACAAACAGGCGACGGCCCCTGCCAGCACCCACAGCCCTCAGGTCCCAGAGGCCAACAGGGCGGCTGTTTGGTCTGGTCCTGTCTTTGGTTTTGTGCTGATGCAGACAGAAGTAGCGTGTGGCCTTGGCCCACTGGCACCTGCACCCCTGGCCTCCTTTGTGGTGTCTTCCACTGGACTCAGCATGGGTAGGGTTGCAGGGTGATGGCTCCACATGATCGTGGCACTCCTTGTGTGACATGGGAGGGGTCTGCAGAGCACCTGAGTCGGCCATGAACCCCCATGCCTCTGTCCATCTGACCTGGAACCTGGCTCTTGGGCATGGTGTGGTGGCTGGTGGTAGAGTTTTGTGTGTGGGCTCTCCTGGCCTGGCCCCCTGCTCTGTGACCAGGGACCGGTCCTCTGACCTTGGTTGTCTGCCTGTATCATGGCCAGAAGCTCAGATGTGGTGAGGGGAGCGTGGCAGCACCGCACTGTAGGGAGGTGTGGCCCTCTGCACAGCTGCCCTGGGGCACTTGGGGCTTTAGCCACCACTGCATGGATGGTGTGCGCTGGGCCTTAGCATGGTACTGGCCTCAGAGCAGGGTCCACCGGGGGTGGCAGCCTCTTCACTGGACACGATCCCCATGGCACCTCGCTCTCTTGGCTCTGCAAACGGAAAAGTGAGGTGCAGAGGGCAGGTGGTGAACAACTCCCCAAAACAGGGCCTCCCAGAGCTTCTGGGAACTGAGGGCTTCAACCCACCCAGGCTGCATGGTGGGAGTGGCTCATCGGGGGGCCTGTCCCTGCGAGGTCAAGGCCGGCCTTTGAGTGGAGTCCTCTGGAAGTACAGAGGAGAGCAGAGCACGGGAAGAAACATGCCCCCAGCCCTTCTCAGCCCCAGCGCCCCTGATCTTTACTGGGGCTCTGGGCCGTCCCAGAGGAGGGGGGATTTGCTCTCCTGAGTGTCTGTGTCCCTGAGACCTGCTCACCAGCCCCTCCATTGACTCTCAGTCCCTGGGCGAGATGCAGCAGCTACAGAAGACCCTGACCTCGCCGGCTGACGCCGCTGGCTTCCTGCACAGCTCCCGGGACTCTGGCGGCAGCAAGGACTCCTGTGACACAGACGACTTTGTCATGGTCCCCGCGCAGTTTCCAGGTCAGGGAGAACGCGGGGCTCGGAGGTGACGCCTCGGGTGCAGCAGGGACGGTGTACTGCACGTACTGGATGCACTGGGTGTGGCCCGTCCCCACTCACGGGCAGTCAGGGTAGGCCCCTGGGAGCCACCAGCATCAGCTCCGCTTGGCTGGGGAGGCCGCGTCTCTTAAAACCACTCTGGGGGCCAGGCGCGGTGGCTCAAGCCTGTAATCCCAGCACTTTGGGAGGCCGAGGCGGGTAGATCACGAGGTCAGCAGATCGAGACCATCCTGGCTAACACGGTGAAACCCCCTCTCTACTAAAAAATACAAAAAACTAGCTGGACAAGGTGGCGGTGCCTGTAGTCCCAGCTACTCGGAGGCTGAGGCAGGAGAATGGCGGGAACCTGGGAGGCGGAGCTTGCAGTGAGCTGAGATTTGGCCACTGCACTCCAGCCTGGGCGGCAGAGCCAGGCTCCGTCTCAAAAAAAAAAAAAAAAAAAACCACTCTGGGAATCAGAGCCGGGTCCTCCTAGTAGTCAGTAGGAAGTTGGAGGCTGTAGGCCTGGTCCCCCCAGACAGTGCTGCTCTTCCAGATGGGTGGGGGATGCTCACCTCCTGCTCCTCCCACACTGCCGCCGTGTACCCCTACCTTGTTTCTCAGCAGCTCTTATTGCCCCCACACCCTGCAGGTGGGTTTATTCCTTGGCTTTTGGGGGACCCCTGCTCCATAGTGACCAGGGGCTGCCCACGTGTTTGTTGAAAGAAGGTGCCTAAACTTTTGGAGCAGGCCTGGGGTCTGTGGCTCCTCTGAAGGCCCTGCACTCTGTCCCTGGCTGTCCCAAAGCTCCTGGAGGTCTGGGTTGGCACTGGTCCCTGTGTCTGCCAGGGACACAATGACTCATGCAGAGCCCTCCGCATCTCCCGTCAGCATGGCTCCTGTGGGGGTGGGGAGGCCTGAGCCAAGCCCCAGACAGACCCAGGGAGGGCCTTGGTCCTTTGCCAGCTGTCAGGGCAACAGGAAGACAGACACCAGGGGCCGGGCAGAGCCTCCTTGGGGGCGGGAACCTGGGTATTCCTGGACGGGGTTGGGCCCAGACTTAGGGCTGTGGATGCCTGACCTCCCCCGCCCATCCTGGAGTTGGCTGAAGGCTGTGGGGCAGGGCCCCAGGGGGTCTCTGGGGCTGAGGACACTGGAGATAGGAAGCACACAATCCAAGTGGGGATAAGGGGGGCAGGCAGTGCTCTGGTCTCCCGGAACTGGCCTGGGGCTGGCAGGGAGGAGGCAGTCTGGACCGTACCACCCAGGCTCTGCACCCTGCAAGGCCGCTGTACAAGCTGAGGCCCCTGCAAGGTGGAGTGTGTGTGGGGATCCAGCAGAGAGCCTCAGTGGGGTGGGGTGGCCCTGGGCAGGCAGCAAGGACTCCAGGCCCAGCTTTGTCTCCCCCTGCAGGTGACCTGGTGGCTGAGGCGCCCAGTGCCAAACCCCCGCCAGACAGCCTGATGTGCAGTGGGTGAGCCCCCATCCCTTACCTCTGTAATTTAGGGGAGATGAACTGTGGCCTTGGAAGTGGCCCGTGTTATCCCTGCCTGGAGTCATCAGCCCATTAGGGAGGGCTGAGACTGCCACGTCCACTGCAGAGAGGGGCTGGTGGGGCACAGGGCTGGCTGAGCTCTGTGCCGCGTGTGACTTGAAAATGCCCTTGACCGCCGGGCGCAGTGGCTCATGCCTGTAACCCCAGCACTTTGGGAGGCTGAGGCAGGCAGATCACAAGGTCAGGAGGTCAAGACCACCCTGGCTAACAGTGAAACCCCGTGTCTACCAAAAATACAAAAAAACTTAGCCGGGCGTGGTGGTGGGTGCCTATAGTCCCAACTACTCAGGAGGCTGAGGCAGGAGAATGGTGTGAACCCGGGAGGCAGAGCTTGCAGTGAGCCGATATGGTGCCACTGCACTCCAGCCTGGGCAACAAAGCGAGACTCCATCTCAAAAAAAAAAAAAAAAAAAGAAAATGTTGTTGGCCTGTGGCGGCTCACACCTGTAATCCCAGCACTTTGGGAGGCCGAGGCGGGTGGATCATGAGGTCAGGAGATCGAGACCATCCTGGCCAACGTGGTAAAACCCAGTCTCCAAAAAAAAAAAAAAGAAAAAAAAAAAGTGCAAAAAATTAGCTGGGCTTGGTGGCACATGCCTGTAGTCCCAGCTACTCTGGAGGCTGAGGCAGGACAATAGCTTGAACCCGGGAGGCAGAGGTTACATTGAGCTGAGATTGTGCCAGTGCACTCCAGCCTGGGCAACAGAGCAAGACTCTGTCTCGAAAAAAAAAAAAATGCCCTTGGCCTCCCTTCTGCCCTACAGGAGCTCACTGGTGGCCTCTGCGGGCCTGGAGAGCCACGGCCGGACCCCATCTCCATCCCCACCCTGCAGCAGCTCCCCTAGTCCCTCAGGGTAAGCAGGGCCCAGGCTGGGTGGATGGGGCTATGAACAGTCCCCCAGCTGGAGGCTGGGCTTCCTGTGTGTCGCAGCCAGACCCGGCCTGCTGTGTCTAGAGGGCCCTGCCTTCTCCCAGGCCTCGCAGGACTGCAGGGTCTACTGGGTCGTCCTGTAGAAGGGACTATAGTGGGAGGGGTATTGACAGGAGTAGGTGAATGAGGAAACCAACTAGGGATGCCAGGGCCAGCACAGTCCTGTTGTAAGCCCTGAGCCTGTGGGGCCAGGAATGGCCAGGGCCCCAGCCAGGGTGGCCTCCCACTGGCTGGGTGCAGACTGGGAGTCCAGGTGCAGGTGCCAAGTGCTGGTGTGTGTAGAGGCACGGAAGCCGGCTCTTTTCAGACCTGGCATGGGGCCCAGGGTGGCCTCTGTCGTAGCTAGGAAGTCTGGGCCTGGGCTTTCTTTTTTTTTTTTTTTTTTTTTTTTGAGACGGAGTCTCACTCTGTCCCCCTTGCTGGAGTGCAGTGGCCGGATCTCAGCTCACTGCAAGCTCCGCCTCCCGGGTTCAGGCCATTCTCCTGCCTCAGCCTCCTGAGTAGCTGGGACTACAGGCGCCTGCCACCTCGCCCGGCTAGTTTTTTTGTATTTTTTAGTAGAGACGGGGTTTCACTGTGTTAGCCAGGATGGTCTCGATCTCCTGACCTCGTGATCCACCCGTCTCGGCCTCCCAAAGTGCTGGGATTACAGGCTTGAGCCACCGCGCCCGGCCGGGCCTGGGCTTTCTTCTGGTGCCCCAGCTCCATGACCGCAGCCTCTTGTGACCCCAGTGTCTGTCATGATGTTGACCTCTCTCTGCCACAGCCGGGCTGGCCCGTTCTCCAGCAGCAGGTGCGGCGCCTCCGTCCCCATCCCAGTCCCCACGCAGGTGCAGAACTACCAGCGCATCGAGCGAAACCTGCAGTCACCCACCCAGTTCCAAACACCTCGGTGAGTGCAGAGCTCCCAGGTAGCCAGGCATGGCCGGGGCGTGTGTAGCAGGAGCCCTTCCACGGCTTCCATGGAGGGACAGGGTCGTCATCCATGTGCAGTGTGTAGACTGTGGACTGTGTCACTCAGCACCACTATTCACTTTGTTGATGTCTTGGGTTTCTAGAGTTATTTTGACAGTTTTCTGATCAGTAAAATCTCTTGTGTTTATAAAATCAATATTGACTTTGGCCAATTTTAATAGAAGTAAATGTTGGGAGGAAAGGGTACCTTTCTTTGAACTCACAAAAGGCTGTGTGGGCCAGTGGGTGTCTGGCAGGGCACAGAGACTTTAGGGTGAGGATGCCTTGGGTTGGTGCCCTGGGCAGGAATGCTAAGGGGCCAGCTGCTCACACACACCCACTGTGTGGCCAGTTACCTGGACAGAGTGCAGCAGAGGGTGAGCCATCTGTCAGCACTGTAGCCACTTGGCGTGGCATGGGGTCCTGAGCTGCTGAGGCCTCCCCTCTAATACTTGCCTTGTCTCCAGGTCCTCTGCCGTCCGCAGGTCAGGCAGCACCAGCCCCCTGGGCTTTGCAAGGGCCAGCCCTTCGCCTCCTGCCCACGCTGAGCATGGAGGCGTCCTGGCCAGGAAGATGTCTGTGGGTGGGGGCCGGCCCTACACGCCATCCCCTCAAGGTGCGCCTGCAGCCTGGGGCCTGGGAAGGGGCGTCTCTAGGCGGTGGGCGAGGAGGCTGTCTCTGTCCCAGCTTGACCCTAGCAGATCTCTCTTTTCTCCAAGTTGGAACCATCCCTGAGCGGCCAGGCTGGAGTGGGACGCCCTCCCCACAGGGAGCGGAGATGCGGGGTGGCAGGTCCCCTCGTCCAGGTAGGTACAGTCCGGAGGTGGGAGGGGGTGCGAGGCTGACTTCCCTCACTCATGTTGTCATCCTGGTCGAAAACCCTTGCTTTTAACAAGTGAAAAGGAGTGGGAGGGAAGCTCATGGAACAGAAGCCAACTGCCTCTCCAGCTCCTGGCTGTGTGAGCTGGGGCAGGTTTCTCATCCCCTCTGTGCCGGTCTTCTGTGCTGGCTGGGGGTCAGGTTTAACAGTGGCTTTAACAGGTTTAATCTGGGAGGCGGAGCTTGCAGTGAGCCGAAATCGCACCACTGCACTCCAGCCTGAGCGACAGGGTGAGACTCTGTCTCAAAAAAAAAAAGTGGGGCCTTACCGTTTACCCCAAGGGGCCTCCGTGTGGCAGCAGTGGGGCCTAGGGCTAGGCCGCTGGACCGGAAGGTCGTGACGAGGCCTGTCCTCCTCTCTAGGCTCCTCTGTGCCCGAGCACTCTACCCGCACTTCCGGGCTGGGCTGCCGCCTGCACAGTGCCCCCAACCTGTCTGACCTGCACGTCGTCCGCCCCAAGCTGCCCAAACCCCCCACGGACCCCCTGGGAGCCGTGTTCAGCCCCCCACAGGCCAGCCCTCCCCAGCCGTCCCACGGGCTGCAGTCCTGCCGGAACCTGCGGGGCTCACCCAAGCTGCCTGACTTCCTGCAGCGAAACCCCCTGCCCCCCATTCTGGGCTCCCCCACCAAGGTAATGGGCGCTGCCATGTGTCGAGGGGCACAGAGCCCTGGGGAAGACGGGTGGGAGTGGCCAGGCCTGAACAAAGACTGAGGAAGGCAGCTTTGTACCTTCTGACCCCCGCCTGGGCTCATGCTCAGTCCACTGCCACACACCTTGCCAGTTCCTGCCAACTTGGCCACCTCCCACAGGCACTGGGCCCCAGGGCTGCAGACCTGCGGGGCAGTCTTCACCCCATCTCTGTCCTCCTAGGCTGTGCCCTCCTTCGACTTCCCAAAGACCCCCAGCTCCCAGAACCTGCTGGCCCTCCTAGCCCGGCAGGGCATGGTGATGGCGCCCCCTCGAAACCGGACACTGCCCGACCTCTCGGAGGTGGGACCCTTCCATGGTCAGCCACTGGGCCCTGGCCTGCGGCCAGGCGAGGACCCCAAGGGTCCCTTTGGCCGGTGAGTTGGAGGGAACAGGCCTTGGATGGGCTGCTGAGGGGGCTGCCCCTTTCCCCTGCATTGTTCTGCTGTGTACTTCTTGGGGGTAGAACAGGAAAAACCTGGCCTTGCCCTTCTGTGGGTGCCCAGTGTGGCTGGGTGCCAGAGCCTGGCCCACCCATGGCTGGCCCTAGACTCCCAGCAGGTCCCCATCCTGAGCCTCACCATGCCCACCTGTAAGCTGGGCTGACAGGAGTGCCTGCCTCTCGAGGTGGGCCAGGGGACCGTGCATTACGTGTGTCTGGCCTGCAGAGGGGCCCCTCAAGGTCCAGTTAGGGTGGAGTGGGCCGGGCCCCCAGCACAGCCCTGCACCCTCCCGCAGGTCTTTCAGCACCAGCCGCCTCACTGACCTGCTCCTTAAGGCAGCGTTTGGGACGCAAGCCCCAGAGCCGGGCAGCACGGAGAGCCTGCAGGAGAAGCCCATGGAGATCGGTGGGTGAGGCTCAGAGGCTGTGGGATGGGGGCGGCGGGCAGCCAGGATGCTCCTGAGCCCTTCCTTGCTCTCCCAGCACCCTCAGCTGGCTGTGGAGGGAGCCTGCACCCAGGAGCCCGCGCTGGGGGCGCCAGCAGCCCCTCCCCGGTAGTCTTCACCGTGGGCTCTCCCCCGAGTGGGAGCACGCCGCCCCAGGGCCCCCGCACCAGGATGTTCTCAGGTGAGGGCTGGCTAGGCTGAGGCCTTGTCCCTTTTGGGGTGGTGGCAGCGCCCTAGAGGAGGGGGGCATCCTTTAACTCGGGTCGCTGGACTGCGGCCCCCCAGAGCCTGGGGGTGCCTGAGGAAGCAGCTCAGGCCCCTGAGAAACCCACGCTCTGTCTCCCAGTCTACAAAATGGACGTGGTTCTGGTACCTGCCCCGCAGGCGGCCCCTGCCACTCAACCTGTGAGTGATAGGTACTTGTTCCCATTTATCCCCAAAACATGAGCTGAGCAGGGACGGTGTCTGGATTGTGGCCTCCTTGCCCAGCTGCCGTGGGCTGTGCTGTGTTGGTCAGGAGTCGCAGACAGGCGTGCCCCTCGGTTCCCCAGCCAGTGGCGTGTGGGGATACTCTGGGCCTGGGGCCTGGCTGGGTCCCCACTGTGGGTTCTGCCTGGGGAGGGGTGGGCTTGTGGGCATCTGGTCCTGGCCAGGGGCTGCCATCGCTGGGGTCACCTGCCAGCCCCGTAGTGAGGGTGGCCTGCCTTGCCCTTTGAGGTCCTTTTGGCCCTCGGGCCCACCCGTGTTGCACAGTAGCACCCCAGGCCACCCACCTACCCCATCCCAGACAGTGGCAGCTGCCCTTCTCCCAGGCAGATCTGGGCTGGGGGTCGGGATACCCAGAGGGTCCCTTGATGGGCACCGCAGCCCTTGGCCTGAGGTGGGGAGCTGGGGACCTGGGGGTTGTGGTGAGTGGCAAGAGGTTGAGTAGGGGCTCTAGGGACCTGCTCTGCTTCTCCTGTTAGAGTTTTGGGAGGTAACAGGGTGTAAACTGAGGCAGAGGCACATTGGGCCCTGGAGGTGTGGGAGCCTGTGGGGGATGAGGGCCACGGTGTCTGCTTGTCCTGGCATGCCCCTCACCGCCCTTTCCCTGCAGTGGGCTCCACTGGCTCCGCTGGCTCTTCTGCCCGCCACCTGGTGTCTGGGGCCTGCAGCGAGGCCCCAGCCCCCGAGCTCCCTGCTCCAGGACATAGCTGCAGCTTTGCCGACCCCATTGCTGCCAACCTGGAGGGGGCTGTGACCTTCGAGGCCCCCGACCTCCCTGAGGAGACCCTCATGGAGGTGAGGGCTGGAGTGAGCAAAGGTTTCCATTCTGGCTGGAGCGGGTGTGGGGTGTCAGGTGGGGCACATCCCAGCTGCCCGGTCTACAGCAAGGGAGGGGACCCTGCCCTGCCTCCCCAAGGCGTCATCAGTGAGTCTCAAGGGAGACAAGCCTCTTCCCAGCCCGGGCAGCATGTGCTACCCTGACGACCGCTTCCTGCAGCAAGAGCACACCGAGATCCTGCGTGGCCTGCGCTTCACGCTGCTGTTCGTGCAGCACGTCTTGGAGATCGCAGCCCTGAAGGGCAGCGCCAGCGAGGCGGCCGGGGGCCCTGAGTACCAGCTGCAGGAGAGTGTGGTGGCCGACCAGATCAGCCTGCTGAGCCGAGAATGGGGGTGGGTGCTGCCAGGGCTGGGGTGGGGTGGGGCGGGTGGTGGCTTGGGGGCCAGGACCAACCTGCCTCCTTTGATCTGCCTGCCACCCCCAGCTTTGCGGAGCAGCTGGTCCTGTACCTGAAGGTGGCCGAGCTACTGTCCTCCGGCCTGCAAACTGCCATCGACCAGATCCGGGCCGGCAAGCTCTGCCTGTCGTCCACCGTGAAGCAGGGTGAGGGCTGTGACCGCTCAACGCACATGCTGGGTTGGGGAGGAAGCCCGCCTTGCAACTGTCCGGGTGACAGGGTGACAGGGAGGCTGCCTGAGCAGGCCCCTGTGCAAAGGTGCAAAGGCCTCGGGGCCTGGCCCGGCGTGCAGGGCACAGAGGCCGTGGGGTCGGATGGCACCCGGGTCGAGGTGCTGAGCCTGGCCGCGCACTGAAGGCCACGGAGAGCCAGGGCCGTGGCGGGGAGGGAGGGACGTGCTCGCTCAGTGCGCAGGGCGGATCGTGACCGCTCCAGCCCTGCCCCGTGTCTGCCGCACCCGGAGCCGACCGCCCTCGTCCCCTGCAGTGGTGCGCAGGCTGAACGAGCTGTACAAGGCCAGCGTGGTGTCCTGCCAGGGCCTGAGCCTGCGGTTGCAGCGCTTCTTCCTGGACAAGCAGCGGCTCCTGGACCGCGTCCACAGCATCACTGCCGAGAGGCTGATCTTCAGCCACGCCGTGCAGATGGTACGGGACAGACAGACACCGGTGGGGCAGATGGTACGGGACAGACAGACACCGGTGGGGCAGGGGCCAGGAACTTCCAGGCCGGCTGTCTGCACTGGGAGGGGACCTTGAGGCCCACAGCTTGGTGAGACTTTCGGGGGTGTCACTTCTGGAGGTCTTGAAATGATAGCGTGATGCCCCCGGCCTCCTGCAGGCGCTTATAGCTTGGCTGGGTGCATCCTTGATTGCATGGGTGCCATGGCCCATGTGCATCCTGCCATGCCTCTTCCTGAGACTCAGTTTCCCCAATTGTAAAATGAGAGACTTGGTCTTCAGGCCTCGTAGTCAGGTGCCAGCCTCCAGAAGCAGCACCTGGTCCCAGACAACCTGCCTAGAAGTGTGGTGCACTCAGCTGGTACCGCGGGCACAGGCTCCCTGCTTGGGCTCTGAAGAGCTTCCTCTGCCTCTGAGGTGGGGTTCCCCCTTTTTTTTCTTTTCTTTTTTTTTAAGAGAGGGTCTTGCACTGTTGCCCAGGCTGAAGTGTAGTGCAGCCGCTAACTCCTGGGCTCAAGTGATCATCGTGCCTCAGCCTCCCAAAATGCTGGGATTACAGGCAAAAACTCATGAGTGCCTGAGTCTCCTTTTTAAAGAAAATGTATGCATGCAGTAAAAATGCAGTCTGAACAAACATGGGAAAAGTCATCCTCCCTCCTGCCCCTGCTTCCCACCCAGGCAGGCCAGGCAGCAGCAGTAATGACACTGACTGACTGGCGGGCACTCTATTGTCCTGGGGTGGGGCTGACAGTGCTGGCCAGGGTCATCTGGTTCCAGGCAGCGTCTCCCCTTGGCCCTGTGACCATCCCCTCTGCACCGAAGACTGCGCCAGCACTCACCCCCCCCATGTCACTGCCCTGAGGGCCTGTCTGCCCCCCCTGGGCCACTGCCATGGGTGCAGGCAGGGCAGCCCTCGCTGGGAGGGAGTGGGGTGAGCTGGCCTTGTCCAGCCTCTGCCCTCGCCCCCAGGTGCAGTCGGCCGCCCTGGACGAGATGTTCCAGCACCGTGAGGGATGCGTCCCGCGCTACCACAAGGCCCTGCTGCTCCTGGAAGGGCTGCAGCACATGCTCTCAGACCAGGCCGACATCGAGAACGTCGCCAAGTGTGAGTGCCAGGCTGGGCTGGGGGCTGAGGGCTCTGGGCGTCTCCCTCACGCTCCCCCCTCTCCCTCCACAGGCAAGCTGTGCATTGAGCGGAGACTCTCGGCGCTGCTGACTGGCATCTGTGCCTGACCTTTTTTGGTCTGGCTGGGCCCTGGTCCTGCCGAGCCCTGCAGGGTGGGCTCTGTGCTGGCTGGACTCCTCGGGACAAGCCCATGGCACTGATCGCTGGTGCTGAGCCCTGCCCTGGGCCCCACGGACAGTCAGCCTGCCGGCCTCCCTGCAGGTCATGGGGCAGAACCAGCACACCTGGAGCCACACAGCTTGGGGGTGTCTCCCGTCTTGTACAGGTGGGGATCACAGAACTTCTGCCCCTCTGGCTGCCTGGCACAGCAGGCGTGGGTGCCACCACCCTCTAGCCCCGGGGCAGCCCTGGAGGACAGGCAAGGGCCTGAGACCGCTGCCGACTCAAAGCCAAAGCGAGCTCCTGCTTCGGGCAGGTCAGCAGTCACTGTGCCCAGGAAGAGCCTGCGGCCTCAGCGTCCCCCAGTCTCCAGGAGCCTCTCCCTCCGAGATACCCACCCAGCTTTGTCAATCACCCAAGCACTTTATGCAGATAGAGACAGAATCTGGACCTCACCAGGGACTGCTGGGCGGTGATTCCTGGCAGTGGCCTGGTGTTTGTACATACACATAAGCGGACACATGCCAGGGCCCCCAAGCCTGAGCACCGGACCACGGAGCTGCCCAGGTCTGGACCTCAAGGGGAGAACTGGCTCCGGGGTGAGTGGGGCCCTGCACCAGAGGCAGAGGCAGTTCTTTGTTCAAGCGTTCCTCTAGGGACCGGCAGCGGAGGCACCGTGTTCTCTAAGCCCTGGATACGTCTTGTAATCTTTCACACTTTATTCCTAAAATGTGTCTTATTTTTATGCAGCTAATTTTTTCTTTAAAGGAGAAAACTTGTAGGTGTTTAAGAATTGGTTTTGGGAGGGCGAGGACTGGGCCAGGTTAGAGGCAGATGGCGCAGGGGCGTATGGCCGGTAGGTGAGGCTGCTCTGTGCACACCTGGGTCGGTGGCTGCAGCAGGACAGGTGTGTGCCCAGCACCCTCCCCACCTGGGCCTGGGGGCAGATGAGGGGAATACTTCATGCAAGGAAAAAAGTAACATATGCAAAAGCTCCCCGTCCATCTTTGACAGCCAGCTGTGGTGTCAGCCCCTCGGCAGGGTAGGCCTGATGACAGCCCTGTCCCTCCCTGCCTCGGCCTTGCTCAGGGCCACTGAAGGTGTCCGCAGAGGCCTGCCTTCCGGATTCCAGGCGGGCACGTGCTGCAAACCCTGCCTGGGCCTCCCTTGGTCTGCCCAGCCTGGATCAGTAGATACTTGAACGAGTCCCCAGTCTGCGGGAGGCAGCGGTGGGGCCATGGACCCACGCGGGGGGTTCCAGGGTCACACACCACATAACAGACAAAAATACACACATGTGTGTTTTTCTTTGCAATACTTGAAATATTGCCACTGTGCTTGGACTTAGAAGAAGAAAATCCCCGTGATTTCTTCCTCATCACCTTGATGGCTTTATTCTCACCTTGTGGGGCATGTTAGTATTTATTGCTTCATGGCCGACTGGAATCTTGAGTCTTGGGAAGCTGGCACTACGGGGATCTTGCCTGGCGTCCTGGTCCTCTTGCTTCCGTCGTGGCCGCGTGTGCGTGTGTCCAAGCAGGTCCTGGGCGCCTCAACTGCCGCCCCTGGTTGAATGTTCTGTTGATAGTGTTGGACCCTTTGTCTATTTTAAAGCAAATTTTGTGTGATTTCCTGCCCTTTGCGTTATATTGTGTAATATCAATTTAAGGAAATAAACCTTTGGAATTGTTGGGCTGGTGTCACCTCTTGTCTTCGTTGGCTTGTCACTGTTCTCAGGGTTTTGTCATTTTCTTTCTCAGCCAAGGCGCAGGAGCCCCAGGGCCCCCTCCATTGGTGCCCACAATGGCCGGACACAGCTGTAGGAGCAGAGCCCCAGGGCAGAAGCTGGATATGTGAGGGACAGTGCAGACTCCTGTGCTGTAGGAAGCCTCTCCCGCCAAGCTGGAGGCCCTGCACAGGGTGAGCAGACTCCACAGGGCAGGGCACCCACCTTGGGATAGCTTTGGGCACCTGCTTTGACTCCTCTGGGGGATACACCTAGCAGGGGCCACGTGGAGCTCTGTGTGAATTTCCAAGAAGCCTCAGACTATTCACTGTGGCCGCTGAGCAGCTGGGCCTCCGAGGCCTCGCCTTGTGGTTTTGATTTGCATTTCCCCAAGGGGTCCTGACGTTGAGCATCACAGGTACTTGGCGGCCATTTGTGTGTCTTTGGAGGAACATCTAAATCCTTTGCCCTTTTTTTTTTTTTTTTTAATTTGAGACGAGTAACTTGCTCAGGCTGGAGTGCAGTGGCACAATCTTGGCTCACTGCAACCTCCGCCTCCCAGGTTCAAGAGATTCTCCTGCCTCAGCCTCCCAAGTAGCTGGGACTACAGGCATGCACCACTGTGCCCGGCTGATTTTTTTATTTTTAGTAGAGACGAGGTTTCACATGTTGGCCAGGCTGGTCTCGAACTCCTGTAGGGTTTGCATTTTTTAAACTGTATATTGTATATTGTTTTTATTAGATAAAAATAACTTGCTAAAAACTGCTAACCGCAATAAGAAGTGAAAGTTCATTGAGAGGTTGGTGTTCTCGAGGAAGGGGAAGGCAGAGACCTTGTTTCTGAGTCCCAAGACGGGCTGCTTCCAAACAGCCTCCTCAAACAGGAGCAGCTGCACTCAGCACCGGTGAGGTGCGGCGCGGCAGCTGCCAGGCCGTGGGCGCTGTGGTCCTCCTGGTACGTCTGTAACGTAAAGAAATGCCCAGTCAGTCACTGCAAACATGGAATTTAATATTTTTTAGAGCAGTTTTATAGTTTCAGGAAAATTGAGTAGGACCTACAGAGACATCTGCCCTCTCTCCCGTCAGTAACAGGTCAGGTTCGTGCAGTGCCTTTCTCTCTGCTGTTGAACCCAATATTCATATTTTAGATTTTCAAAAATCATGGACACTTCTAATACAACAGGTTCTGTGTTACCACTCAAAGTCTGCAGTTCACATCATGGGGTCACTCGATATACACTGGGTGTTGCAAAGGTGTCATGCCACACATCACCCTAAGGTCCTCTGGGCTCCACCTGTTCCCCTCTCCCAGCCTAGCTCCACTGGCCACTGATCTTCCTGTCCTCATAGTTGTTTTTGTTTCAGAATGTCCCGTAGTTGGGAACATACACTATGCCCAGGGCCTGGGAGCGCATTTCCATTTTTTTTTTTTTTTTTTGAGGCAGTCTCGCTCTGTTGTCCAGGCTGGAATGCAGTGGCAGGAACTCAGCTCACTGCAACCTCCACCTCCCAAGGTTCAAGCGACTCTTGTGCCCCAGTCTCCTGAGTAGCTGGGATTATAGGCCTGAGCACCCAGCCTGGCTAAGTTTTGTATTTTTATTTATTTTTTATTTATTTATTTATTTTTTTGAGACGGAGTCTCGCTCTGTCGCCCGGGCTAGAGTGCAGTGGCCGGATCTCAGCTCACTGCAAGCTCCGCCTCCTGGGTTTACGCCATTCTCCTGCCTCAGCCTCCCGAATAGCTGGGACTACAGGCGCCCGCCACCTCGCCCGGCTAGTTTTTTGTATTTTTTATTTTTTTTTTAGTAGAGACGGGGTTTCACCGTGTTAGCCAGGATGGTCTCGATCTCCTGACCTCGTGATCCGCCCGCCTCGGCCTCCCAGAGTGCTGGGATTACAGGCTTGAGCCACTGCGCCCGGCCGCCAGTTTTGTATTTTTAGACAGGGGTTTTGCCATGCTGGCCAGGCTGGTCTCAAACTCCTGGCCTCAAGTGATCCATCCTCCCAAAGCGTTAGGATTACAGGCATGAGCCACCGTGCCTGGCCTCATTTCTTTTTAGAGCTGCATAGTATTCCATTGTCTGGAGGTACCACAGTTTTTCCATTCACCTGCCGACATATCAGTTGTTTCCACGTTTGGGCAGTGGTAAATAAAGCTGCTGTAAAGGTCCATGTGCCAGAGCCAGGTGGTGAGGGTGGGCCCAGGGGAAGCCGTGGCAGTGCAGGAGGGACCTCATCCTTGCACACTCCAAGCCAGTGGGACCAGGCCTTGGTGCCCGCACTCTCACAGAACTGTGGCCCCCTGGGTGCCTGTCCATACCCCCTGCCTCAGTCCTGGAGCCTGGGCTGGTGGAGGGGTACCCTCCTGGGAGGTCATTTAGTATGGGTGAGCTGCCCTCCCACCTGGCCAATTGCATCACCCTCCTGCCTCCCCTTACTGCCTCGGCCACCAGCTCCTCACAAGCCACACGCAGCCCATTGAGTACCCCTTGGGAAGGGGTGTCAGATTGGATCCCTGGGGCTCCCATCTCACAGCCAATGCCCCGGGCCCCTTGGTCCTCTTTTCCTATCAGTCCCTCATCACGCAGCCCTGTGGTTTCTCTACCTGCATACTCCAGGTGGGCACAGTGCCCAGGCCCTGCTGAGTCCTCACCTGTAGGAGGAGGTGCAGCCCCTGGAGGGCAGGAGTGGGGCTGCTGCAGATGGCTGGCTCCTGCCTCCCCACCCTTGCACTGCCAGGAGCATGCTCTCCCTGGCCCATGGCCCATTCCCCAAATTCAAGCTTGTGGTTGGCTGAATTGTGGCCCCAGATATGGGATTAAGGATTTTGAGATTATGCCAGAGGGCGGGTCCAGAATCATATGAGTTTCTCTAAGGGAAAGCAGGAGGACAGGAGGGCAAGCTTGGGAGAGGAGGCAAGGAAGTGGTGGGTGCAGTGGCCACACCGGGAATCCCAGCACTTCAGAAGGGGAGACAGCGGATCGCTTGAGCTCAGCATTTGGAGATCTGCCTGGGCAACACAGTGAGCCGGTCCCTTAAAAAAAAAAAAAAAAAAAAAAAAAAAGAAAGACTGGGCGCGGCGGCTCACGCTTGTAATCCCAGCACTTTGGGAGGCCGACGTGGGTCAGGAGATCGAGACCATCCTGGCTAACATGGTGAAACCCCGTCTCTACTAAAATACAAAAAAATTAACCAGGCGAGGTGGCGGCGCCTGTAGTCCCAGCTACTCGGGAAGCTGAGGCAGGAGAATCGCTTGAGCCCGGGAGGCGGAGGTTGCAGTGAGCCGAGATCCCGCCATTGCACTCCAACCTGGCGAAAGAGCAAGACTCTGCTTCCCCGCCCTCCCCCCCCCCACAAAAAAAGAGTGGCCACTTTTCAGGAGACCGCATCTCTATAAAAAATAATAAAAAATTAGCTGGGCGTGGTGGCGCGCGCCTGCGAGGACCGCTGGAGCCCGGAGGCGGAGGCTGCGGTGGGCGGCGACCCCCTTCCACGGTGCGGGTGAAGGCCAGGGCGGAGCCTCCCCTGCGCCCCAGCGTCTGTGGAACCGGGACGGGGCGCGGGGCTGAGGCCACACGAGGGCCGCACAGGGTGGGTGCCACTGAGGGTCTGGGGGCCGAGCCCATGGGAGGGGACCCGGCAGCGGAGAGAAGCGGGGCCGGCGTGGGCTCGGGGTTTCCCCTGCTCCGCTGGGCGGGCGACAGCACCCAGGAGGCGGCGGCGGCGCGACCACTGCTCACACGTTTCGCCGCGCGGCCGCGGTGCCGGATGCGGGAGGGCCTCGTGTCCCGCCCCTGACACCCCCAATCCCCGCCCCCAACACCCCAAAATCCCCGCCCCCAACACCCTAATCTCCGCCCCCATCCCACCCCGCAAATCCTCCTCATCCCTGTCTCCGCCCCGCCACTTCTCCGGAAGAATTTTTGTCCCCGCTCGGCCGCCGTCCAGCCGCTCGTTCCACTTCCGCCTTCGCCCACGTGGTCCGGCTCCGGCGCAGTCAGCCGCGTAGTGAGTGGGGCCTGACGCTAAGCTATCTTCTCTGGTCCCGACGCGGGTGGTCCGGGTCTCTTCGACTCCCGAGGAAAGCCCACTGGGCGGGGAGGGAGGTGAAGGGGCTGGGGAGGTCAGAGGTTAACCTGGGTGTCAGGGGACGTTCGAGTTTATCCGTCAGGGTCCCGGGGCGGTCTGGGGACAGCAGAGGCGGGGCTTGGGCGCGGGGCCCGAGGGGTCAGGGGTCAGCAGGAGCGAGGCTGGGGCATCAAGGTCCGAGAGGTCAGGGGCCAGCAGGAGCGGGCTTGGGGTGTGCGGGTCCGAGAGGTCAGAGGTTAGCTAGAGAGGGGTTGGGGCGCCGGGTTCCCGGAGGTCAGGGGTCAGCAGGAACAGGGCAGCAGCGTCAGGGTCCGAGAGGTTAGGGGTCGGCAGAGGCGGGGCTGGGACCCTGGGGGTCAGGGCTCGGGGGTCAGGGCGGGGTCGGGTTCGCTGGTAGCCTGCGCATGGGCCTCCAGCTTCGCGCGCTGTTGGGAGCCTGCGGACGGTGGACCCTGCGCCTGGGACCGCGTCCGTCCTGGTAATGACCGCGACGCCGGGCGACCCCGCCACGCCCGCCCAGCCCACCCGACCCCACCCGACCCCACCCCGCGCGGTGCCGACCGGACCCCTGCTCACGCTGCCCTTCTCCGCAGCTCGCCGCGCATGGCGGGGAACGCGGAGCCACCGCCCGCGGGATCCGCGCGCCCCCAGGATCGGAGGTCCCGCAGTTGCTGGGCCGGGGGTGCCCGCGTCTGGGAGGACGGAGAGCATCCGGCGAAGAAGGTCAAGAGCGATGGGGACGAGGAGCGGCGCGGGAAGCTGCCCAAGCGCAAGATCGTGCTGCTCATGGCCTACTCGGGCAAGGGCTACCACGGCATGCAGGTGTGGCCGCCCGGGAAGCGGCGGGTCCCGCGGGGCTTAGGTGCGGGTGCGGCC